TTCCTAGTTCCAGGTAGAGCAGTTTCTTAGTAACTGATTACTGCATGAAAAGTATATATTAGTATATTTTTCTGACTGAATTCAGTGGGAGGGCTAAGAATCAGTTCTGTAAGCACAACCCTGAGCGTAGAGAGCACAGTGAAGGAAGGGAGAACTGAATGCTCCTTACTTAACTTAAGGCTTCCAAGAGCAAAGCCCAAAGGGAACTGTCAGAATCATGCACAGTTCTAGGCTTAAGCATGAAGAAATGTTTTGTGAACTACCCTATCTACCAATGAAAACCTATCAGAGCAAAAAGCTAGTCTACCCTTACAGCTGGCCCACCCTTAGAGCTTGGCGTGGGTCATTTCTCCTTCCATAATGTCAGTTGATGAGCTGGATAACATCAACCTGAGGCGTCAGAGAACTCTTTTCCAAGTAATGTTGGAATGTGCTTTGCAGTGCTTCCACCTGTCTGTTCAGCTTGGTCTACCAGTGCTGCACAGGTATCTCTGAAAGACAGGTATATTGAAGACAGCTACGCTTAGGCTTCTTTTTTTTCAACAAGCACAGGTCCTTAACCCAACTTTCTTTTCTTTCAATTCTCACCCCTCAATCACATACCTCACCATTTCCTTACCTACCACAAGACCACCTTCCCCTGTGCACTGAGGGCCCTTAAACCTCTTTTTTTTTCTTTAAGTTGGAGTCTCACTCCGTCACCCAGGTTGGAGTGCAGTGGCACGCTCATGCCAACCCAACGTCGACCTGCTGGGCTCAGGCGATCCTTCCACCTCAGTCTTCCAAGTAGCCAGAACTACAGGTGCGTGCTACCACACCCGGCTAATTTTTTTATTATAGAGATAAGGTGTCTCCAAATTGCCCAGGCTGTTCTCAAACCTGTGGGCTCGGACAATCCCCTCACCTCGGCCTCCCAAAGTGCTGGGATTACAGGCCTGAGCCACCGTGCCCGGCCCCCTTCAACCTCTTTAAGGTGCCCAGCGTCCACTCCCCAGACACACCTTCCCTTACAAAACTGATGTACTTTATAAAAATGCAGTGTAGGCAATGGTGCCAAAGGAAAAGACAAGACATAAAGCCCTAAGAGACGGATGTATTCATGAAAGTTTGGTTTCACTAAAGATCAAGCTTCTCGACAGATAAAAGACTAAGTTTACCACTAAATTCCTCCAACACTTGTAATTTTATTTCAAAATATAAATATTTTACATTTGCAAAGAAGTTACATCATAGGTTGTCAATGCAAGTTAAAGCTAAGAAACAGCATGTGAGAATAAATAATATTTATTGTAGCATCTGAATAATCTTTTTTTCTTTTCAAGCCATCTCTCCTTTGCCTGAAAATGCAGAGATACATTTTTGAAGAGCTGCATAAACAATTACAACTATATATCCAATCCTGGTTCAAAATCAAATAGTATATGAAATACACTCCAGTCACCTAAATAAGTGGCACTGCAAAGGACAAAGAAGGGTTTTCTTTAGGATAACTACAATGAGAGTTACATCTTCTGAGTCACTGTAATAAAGATGAAATGGTACTTGATAATAAACCAAAACTATTAAGATTTGCTTCCAGACTTTTCATTGGAAAATATAAAGGTAGAGGAAAAGAAAGAAACCAGCTATGGAGTAAAGAACTCTGGACTTGGAGTCAGAAGTTCTGCAACTGAATTCTGGCTCCATTATTTTGTGGTATAAACTTAGGGGAAAAATCACCAAAAACCTTTCAGAACCTCCAATGCCTCACCTATACAATGAGGATAATACTGCCTATCTTACAGGACTGTTACAAAACATGTCTGAAAACTATAAAATGCTATACAAAAGCATTATTAAAATGTAATATCATTGTCACCACTGTATTTGCACATTAACTGATCCTTGAAAAACTTGCAAAATTAAGCACAAATACTGATTTTACACACCATAGGTGGAAAAGAATCTCTATACCTTAAGTATAGCTCTAAATGGAAAAATCCTTTCTAGTATCTCACTAAACTTCAAAACTTATTACAAATTACATGGTACCACAGTAATAGATTTGCCAGTATTTCCATTTCTATTAGGGATGTCTTCTAAAAGAACTGTGAACTCAATTGAGAGTCATATTTCCCAAAGGACCCTCAGAGTCCTTTGAGTCCTATGAGATGCTCTGAAAAACAGAGGAGGAGGCACAGTCTAAGGTCAAACAGTCTTTGTGTCCTCTTATAAATTCACAATGTGTAATAGCATGTTAAAAACTCTTGGAAGTCTTATGGAAAGGAAACAAACTCAGCATTCTTCAATTTTAATTGGCCATGGAATCCCCTCCCCCAACACACTTTTTTTCCTCTTACAATATCTATTAACATCTCTTGGAACTACTACTATAAAGAACATATTTTGCCAAAAGCTGCTCAACCATGAGGAAAAGGAAAGAGAAGCAGAACAATGGAGTGAGAGAAAAAAGAACTCTATTTTACTTTTATGTCTGTTACTAACTAGTTGTATATGTGTGTCAGACAAGCCACTTAAATCTATGAATTTGTTTCTCTACAAAATGGTAGGATCATTTAACCTAATCATTATAAGGCCCATTCTAGAACAGAATTTTTATAACTAGTAGAAAGAGTATGACTAGTTCTTTCTAGTAGACAGAAAGAACATCTTGTCTTATAATTTTCTTGGCTTCAAATATCATGTGTATTTTTTGCAGCTTCTGAATAATCAATAAGCTAATACAATGAATACATTTTGATGATAAAATGTTTAAAGACTAAAAATTAGTTTTAAAAAAAAGTGCCTGTCTTTAGCTAGAACTAGCTTTTGGAAATGTGTTGCCAGAAGTTAACTTCCACTGTGAAATGTACCCTCAAAGTCCTACTGTAATACACTTGTAAGGATATTGGAAGACCCCTCAGAGGAGAATGCAAAATCAAGGCTAGAGTATGGGAAGTCCTTAGGGATTTTTCCTATAAACCCTGAGGTTGAAAGCTCTAGATAGCTCACCTAAATTACTTTGCTCTAATCTAACCACTCATGGCCTGAATTTAAGTATTTTTAGTCCAGTAGTGACACAGTAGTGACAATACTGGGGTGCTAATATAAGTAAAATGGGAACTAGAGGTACAGGAAGTCCTGATAGGTCACAATGGTTCATGTTAAGACCAAGGATAGCTGGAAGACCTCTACAAAACACTTAGTAGCCCTTTAACTGGAATAAGCAGTTACCATTTCCAAACATTACAGAGTTTGTTTCAATACAGAGTCTCCACGTTACACATCTTGGGTATCTATCTTTCCACTGATACAGGTCAAACCACACTAGTCTCTGAAGTCAAGGGAAAACTCTGCCAGTTAACCACCTATCACAGAAGAGGGTGTTAGGAAACCTTGACATTTTAATAATAACTAGGACTGGCACGTACCTTTAAGCCCAAAACTTTGAGAGGCAAGGGCAAGAGAACTGCCTGAACCCAGGGATTTAAGACTAAGCTGGACAACTTTGCAAGACTTTGTATCTATAATAAATGTTTAAAAAATTAGCCAGGTATGGTGGCGTGAGCCTATAGTTCCAGATACTTGGAAGGCTAAGGTGGAAGGATCGCCTGAGCCTAGCAGGTGAAGGCAGCAATGTCTGTGAGCATGCCATTTGCACTCCAGCCCGGACAACAGAGAAGACTCCAAAACTCAAGAAACAAAATACAAAAGAAAAAACAACACACAAAACAAAACCTTCTCGCTGTATCTGAGGAAGCATGTTGGGATGTTTCTCTCTGGTTCTGAGGGTTCTAAGACCTGCCCAGCTAGTGGACTTTCCTAGTCCTTACACTGTCACTGTAGCAATGAGGCAGTTCCAGCTTCATGATCAGGACTGTGTAACACTCTGGGGTACCTCTGCTACTGATAGTTCAGGGTGATATTATATCACTGCTACTAATTTTGGTAGCTTGAAACTATTTTCTTAGTGCCCTCTAAGTACCTGGTAATCATACTAATTATCCCAGCAATGGCCAAACATTAGCTCAAGTGTAGTTTTTTTGCACTATCACTTTATACAACTAAAACATTTTGTATTCATACAGTAACTCATTGTGTATAACATTTGCCTCTTAGGAATATGTGCCAATTACAGCTATAAATTCGCCAGTATATAATTAAGAAAAACAAACCTGATTTCTTTATTTAACCTTTTAATGTAAAAAGTTTAAATTCAGTATTCCACATGATCTGGCTAAGATATAAGGAACAAGAGGCCTTCTTATGAGTGATCTCCTACAGCACCCTGTACAATCCTTGGCATGGAGCCTAAAGTTTAGCAAACTTTCAATAACTGTTTTATCAAATGAATGGCTAAATAACAGACTAAAGAATGACTTGGTGACCAAATCTTAGTGGAATAGCAATAATTGCTGAAGGATTCATAATAGAAGTAAGAGATATGCATGTAGTCTACTACATAAAAACAGTCATCTTTTTCTAGATGAGGTTTTTCTTAAGTAGTATAAGAATAACTTTCAACTAATTATCATGAAGTTCTTAGTGAGATGTTTTAGAAAAAATTATTTCTAACTTTAAATATTTTCCAAAAATGAAATCTTCGACTCTTTTGAGCCCTCTTCTCCTCCATGTTCCTTTGGAAGCAGAGGAAGGGCCTGATGATTGTTTAAAAAGTAGAAAGGGCATAGCTAAGAGCTAGGTTCCAGTCCCAGTCCTGTCATATACTATAGGGAAAGTCTTCATTTATAACAAACGGAAAGCAATACCTATTCTATTTTACAACATTGGGAAAATAGCATAAAATGTTAGAAGAAACACTCCATAGCATAGCAGAGTTTGCAGACTGTGGAGTCAAAGATCTGAGGCCAAATCTTACTAAACATTATGACTTTGGGTTGGTTACTTTTCTGAATCTTAGCTTCCCCATAGGTGTAAAACTTTTGTAAAATAATATAAAGTTGTATGAAAGCTGATGTGAAGTGGTTGTGAATATGTGCAAAAGGACTTTGGAAAATGTAAAGCACTATGCTGGCTATTGTGAAATCTGAGTTATTTTAAAAGTTGCAATTCAATTCAACAGGCATTCATTTAGAGTCATATGTGCAAGGCACTGTGCTAAGGGATGGAAAAAACTTCTATAAAAATATGAAAGTTTGCTAATAACTAATTGGCAGAGTCCAAATAATGAAACAGGAATAAATTTAACAAATCAGAGTACTGCTGCACCTGAGATTTTTCACTTAAAACATTTGGAAAGAAAAAACTTAAAAGATAGCATGGATTTTATCATATTGTTACCACTCACAGCAGCTTAATAAGTATTTTACTTCAATGTGGTCAGCTAAGTTTCAAAATTTTGGCAACAGACTAATGGAGTTGGAGACAGAAGGAAGGGAAGTAGAGTTTCAGCCTCCCTGGGTCTCCTATGGTTGCAACACACAAATGATCATCAAACAAACCCAGGCTACCCTGGCACTCAGGATTTAGTTTTTCTTAAAGAGGGATGATAACTGTGCGAAGATTCATTTTTCCTGTTCATACAACTACACACAAAAATGAAAGCCCTGTTCATTGAAAAGTGACTGTCTTAGAAAAGTTTAAGAATAGATCTCTTAAAGCAGGAGAAAACTACACTGTGTCTTTTTTTAACAGCAGGTAGTTTACAGTTCTTAAAATAACTTTATAAATACCTGTTTAATAATATAGATAACTAAAGTGGGAAAATTTCAAGCCATGGTACCAGTGTATAAACCGAAACTTTTCAAACCATCAGCATCTAAGTGAGCAAACCACAGTTCTGAACTCTCAAGCTGTGTTTTTAAATGCAGAGCAGCTCACTGCAAGTTCTTTCTTGTCTGGACATTTCGTATGTAAGGCCAGAAGGCTTTTGCTTCTCTCCTGGTCGCTGCTTGCTAGGCACAGCTGAAAGGGCAGAAGGCCACAGCTGAGCCGAACTCACTGTCAAGGTTGAACTTCCTAGAAGAATCACTGCAGTGGAAACCATGTCAGTCTGTTGAAGATTTCAGATCTTCAGAAATGTCACGGAAACTCCTAAAAGAAGAAAAGATAGAATAATTAGCTAATTACCATAACAGCATCTTATTTTTGTAGTCTTTGAGAGCCCTGACAAGATTATATAGTTGCTATTTTTTCTTAAGATTTTCACTGAGTATTGTTTCAAAGTCTGCTAGTTGTCACTCATTCTTTAGTAACAAGAACGTCAGTTTTTTGCTAGATCCATCATCTCCCATCTAAAAAACTATTTCCCCAGACTCCCTATAAACTACATAGGACCAGGTGACTAAGTTTTGGTTAATGAGATATAAGTGGAAGTGTTGTGAAATTTCTGGGCAGTTCCTTAAAAGAGAAGGACAATCTTCTTCAGTTCTTCTATCTTGATACTGGCCAGAAAGTGGATATGATATTAAAGAGAAAAAAAACTAAGAAAAGGATCAAAGACTAAATGCCAAGTGGGTACATTTTATAACAAACAGGAAGCCAGATCCAACAAGAGCATCGAAGCTCTTGGGATGTAGTTCATAACAGGGGAAATGGGGTAGGTCTTTTCATCAAGTGACCTTGTGTTGTATGTTTCTGACCACATCAGACAAGTTAAGGGAATACTGGTAATAGGCAGGTAATATCTGGGCTGGATGGAGGTGATCTGCTGCATATACAAAGTGCCTGTCTCAAGACTGCTGTAGTTAGCCTGCCTTTGCAACATAATTTAATGCCTGAGCTGGGAAGAGTACCTTGCAAAGTTTACATCTATACTGGCAGCCAGATGTCTAGGTCAGAATTTATCAATGAACGTGAGCCTAAGCACCCATCTTAGACAAAAAGGCCTCAAAGCAAGGCTAGTAGTCCATCAGGATGCAGAGAGGCTGGACCCAGATGTATGTGAAACAAGTGAGAAATAAATTTCTAGTTCATTTAAGTCACTGCTCTTGTGAATTCTGTTGATGGTGGATTTTTGTTTTTTGATTAAATATAGCCTAACCTATATTAAATGATACAGATATAATGTCGTTTATTACCATCCTTTTAGATAGAAGTTATATTGCTCCTTTACACCAATACCACAAATGAGGAATACAGAAAAATGTTTGACTTTACAATGCTTGCATCTTTCAAAACACCTTTAGGTTATATTAACTTTTAGCCACATCACTACACTATGTTGTTGCTTCTTTTTTTTTTTTTTTTTTTTTTGAGTTGGAGTCTCACTCGGTCGCCCAGACTGGAGTGCAGTGGCCGCTCCCGGCCACCGCAGCCTCGACCTATCACGCCTGGCTGATTTTTTGATTTATTGTAGAGATGAGGTCTCGCTGCCCAGGTGGGTCTCGAACCCACGGGCTCTGGCAATCCACTCACCTCAGCCTCCCAAAGGCACGGGATTACAGGCTGAGCCACCGAGCCCGGCTTGTTGTTGCTTCTTAGATTTTTTTTTTTATAATAGCCAAATAAGGCTAATTCTATTTTCAAACCAATAACCAACTATTTGTTATTATAAACAAATTACTCAACTTTTTCATTTGAAATAGAGCTAAAATAGAATATAAGGTACATGTTACAAAACTTCAGGGAACAGCTCACAGTAGTAGAAACAAAAAAATGGCAAAAGCTTTCATTAAGTACACTCACCTAAAACTCACAAAGCAAAAAGTCTGAACCTTAAATGTAATTCCACAATCATGCCCCCTTGCTTACTCCTTTTGTCTTCTTTCAGTTCATATAAACATTTAGGAGGCTTAGACAGACAGGGTAGAGATAAATTAAAGGCTAACCTTTTAGTACACAATGTAGAAAGTACTTCAGAGAAGCAAAGGTAAAATTTCATGAAAAAGAAATTACATCCAAGGATATTCAGTTATCTCAAGGCTCTTTTAAAAATGGTGCCCTAAGCCTCTTGTACCTAGTACAGCTCTATTTTCAAAGGAACAACTTTGAGAAATAGGTAGGCCTCCTGGCTATGGCTCCTAAGGTTTTTAAAGGACATGTGTGTGTGGCATGTCTAAATCAATCATTTTGTTTTGTTTAAAGTCAGAGCCTCACTCTGTTGTCCAGGCTAGAGTGCAGTGGTATAATCACAATTCAACACAGCTTCAACCTCTTGGACTCAGGCCATCCTTCCACCTCGCCTCATCCTCCTGTGTAGCTGGATTATATGCCCAAGCCACCACAACTGGCTAATTTTCTGATCGTTTAAAGAGACAAGGTCTTACTATGTTGCCCAGGCTGGTTTCAAACTCCTGGGTTCAAACAATCCTCCCACCTCGGTCTCCCAAAGTGCTAGGATTACAGACATGAGTCACCATGACCAGTCTTGTTTTGTTTTGAGAGAGTCTCACTCTATTATCCAGGCTGGAGTGTAGTGATGCAATCAAAATTCACTGCAGCCTCGACCTTTAGGACTCAAGTGATCCTCCCACCTTAGCCTCTCAAGTAGTCAGGACTACTTAGCCACTATGACTGGTTAAATTTTTCTTCTTTTGTAGAAACGAGATCTCACTATGTTGATTGGGTTGGTCGTTAACTCCTAGGCTTGAGCAATCCTCCCAAAGTACTGGGATTATAGGCACGAGCCAAGGAGTCCTGCCTAAACTAACCAGTTTACTGACAAGTCTAAGAATTAGAATGCATTTTGTTTCCTTAAATATCTGTATGTTCTGAAAAACATCCAAAATGAAAATTTGTATATGCACATGTATGTTTATATGCATTAATATCTATCTACCCCAAAAATCAGCGTTTCTCAGTCAGAGCACTATTGATATTTTGTGCATTATAAGATGTTTAGCAGCACCCTGGCCTCTAGCCAACTAGAGTGATAATCAAAATGGCTCCAGACATGTCCAAAAAAGACATCATCTGCCACTTCCGTATGAACCCTTGCTCTACATGTCTATTTTTTATAATTTCACTCAAGTTTTTGTTTTTACATTTGCTAAATGCCAAGCTGGCTATACAATATGAATTTCAGGTACCGCTGAATTCTGGAAAGTCCTGGAAAACCTTTGCAACCAATAGTCCAAAACTGGTTATTATCTACAAAGCATTTTCTAAAACCTACAAGTTTCCTTGACATCTTTCCAAATTTCTAAGATACCTGCAAGTATGAATCTATAACTGTTCATTTCCTCGAAATTATGAATGAAAATTTCTGCATCTAGGAAAAAAGAATGCATGAAATAAGATTAAGACTGTGGTTAATCTAGTGACTGCTTTCTGTTGACAAATAAGCTTAGCTGTAACTTTGAAATTTATACCTACTATTTAATTTTGCCTACAGGCCAATAAAGCCTCCAAAAGGACTTAGAAGAAAAACAAAGTAACACAAACTCTTGATGAAATACTATTAGTAACTCTCAGTTACTAGGAGTATTTCATCTCAATGTTATCTCTAGATATGTAGGGCATTATGCTGAGTGTGTGTGTGTGTGTGTGTATGTGTGTGTGCGCGCGTAACCCTACTGAAGTAACACTTATCTTGAACAAACCTCTAATTATCTGGAAGAAAACAAAATTTGTAACCTAGAGATACAAAAATGATTTGTTTCTGGCTTATTTAGGAGGCATAGCTCTAACTAATGAGCAAGGGTCATAGAATTATAACTCTCTGGATTAGGGAGACAAAACTTTGCACTGACACTATTCTGAAAATGTTTTATGTCCTACTCTAAACCAGCTAAACAGAATGTTCTTTCCCAAGCTATATTATATGGGATTATCATGTAGAATTTCTCATATAAGAATGAGCAATGCAGAATGGGACCATGTGTGACTGGGGTCTAGAGAACTGTTGTTAACATTTTATACCACCTTTCAGAGCAATTAAAATTATACACTATAGTTTCTCACTAGTATTTGCTCCTTGAAATGGTTCAGGATCTGCTTATCCCAAAGTTTCAATGTAACCTTTACATATTCATTTTACTCCCTCACTTATTCCCTCTGCAAATGTTTGTATCTTTCCGTAACTTACGACTTGTTGACTCCTAGCTATCCAGAGATACAGAATAAATTTTGGGTGCCTTAAAATAAAAAGTTTTAACTGACTACTTTTATCTACTTAACTGACTCTGCGGGCTGAATGTGTATTTCCTACACCTGCACACAGGTATAAATCTTTGTGAGAGGGCACATGCCAACACTATTAAGCATATTCCCTCTCTTTTAACAAATTTGAAATGGGTTTCTATGTCCTATTCTCTTTTCTCAACCTCAAGGTTACATTGAAAATTCTTTTCTAATCTCATCTGATTTTTGTTTCACTAACCTATTAACACCAAATCTTCACTGAGCATGTTCTATGCCCAAAATGTCATGCTAGGAATGGTAAGACAGTGGTAAACAAGTTATACATAGTTTCCACCTTGACAAAGCTTACCAACTACTAGTGGGAAACACAATGAATTAAATACATTTATAAAAGATGTATTTTCCAATAATAGAAGTGCAAGATGCTACATATCAAAGGACTTCTTACCTAGTTCAAGGATTTCCAGTAATGGTTCTCAGAAAAAGAGCACTTTGAGTACAGACTGCAGTACAGGACTTGGCTAGAAAGCGGTGGTATTCTTTACAGAAGGCACAACACAAACAAAGATTACAGTGACTTCAGGGAACTAAAACAAGTTCGATATGACTGGAAAATAAAATGCAAGGCAAGTAGCATAGACATGAATCCCAAGAAGTAGACCGAGAGAAGGCAAGAGAAGTCTGATGGGTCAATTAATGTTTCAATGTTATCTTGAAGGCCAGGGAAAGCCACTGTGGGAATTTTAAGTAGTAGAGCAACATAATATGTATGCTTCCTCTAAAAATTAGAGAAGCTGCACTTTGGAGAATAGACTGGAGGGAAGAAGGACTAGAGGCAAGAAGAAATTCATCTTCCATATCACCCAGCAATCCGCCTACTAGGAATATACCTGGAGAAACTCAAATTATTCTACAAAAAAAGACACCTGTACGGGCATGTTTATTGCAGCATTATTCACAATAGCAAAAACAAGAACCAATTGTGCTGCCCATTGAAACTGGACTGGATA